TGCTAGCATGATGTGTAAATCGTCGTAAGGAACCAAGCCAGGCACGGTTAACTGATCCAAGCTTAGTCCGAACTAGGCACAGAGCAGTTTCAGAGGGCTAATGTAAGGGGGGCAACAGTGAGACTAAAATTGAGTGCCTCTGCGGTTTGAAAATAGCACTTTGTTAATTTGCGAATTGCAAATGCAATTTATTCCCCAGTCCTAATCTGGGCTACCGGCAATTTAAAATTCTACGATTAGCTAGTCACCAAAGTCATACCTCATCTAAATGTAAAGGAACATAAAAAGCAAAGCTTTATAAATGCCACACTACATCTGAATGAAGCCATGCCTTTTTTCTTTTTTAACTTCAAAGGAAATAAAAATGTATTCGAATAAAGAGTCAGACATGGAGCAAATCTTTTGAACAAATTGTTTTAATAAACTAAAGGTAAACTAAAGGTATTCCGTTCATTCAAAAGAACTTCTGCTCCCATTACTACACTGATAATGGTTGCATATCTCTGCATGCAAAGAATGTTTCATTTCGGAGGCTAACCTTTAATGATTGCACAAACTATTAGTTTGAAAAAACATGCAAAACATAGTACACACCATATTTTAGTGGAGTGGGACACATGACACTTGCAGCTGCTGCCCAATGCTAGCTACTCCTCCTGATTTTTTGGCAGGTAGCAACTAGATTTGAGAAGTACTACTGCCACTCTACCCTTCAGCCCTGGCTGCATTAGAGACAGTTTTTTCCTTTTTTGCATTTCTATATTTTGCAGTTTTTTGGTCTTATCCGAGAGACCTTTGAAGACCCTATGAGAACTTAACAGCTCCTGGCAAAGCCAACAGAAAGACTTTTAGTGACTAAGACTTTTTTTTAAATCACATCTTTTTTAGCAATACCATTAAAACCTTTGGTGCCACTCTAAAGCCCAGGTTGGCCCATTATTTTTTACCTATCGCTCCAGCATGCTTCGGTTTGCAGCAAGGTGCAAAACACCAGGGTGAATCAAAATTACGAAAAAGTAATTTAGACTTATTGCCTTTTTTTTTTTTTAAATAGCTGATGACAGTTTTTGCAACCCAGAGTTTCACAAAAGGCTATGGCATTTTTCCACTTTAATTAGACCATTTAAACATGTTTTTTTACTCCTCAGGTTTGTCTGACGATATGCAACACTTCAGTGAACAAATCAGCCAAACAAAAAGAAATCTCTAAGATGGCAGTTACTTTTTTCCAATAAACCATTTTGATCATAATCATACAACTCGTTTAAACCCCTAGGTCTCAACAATTTGCACAGCTTCATGCAAACCACTCTACAGCTTTAAACACATCAATTTGGCTCAAGAAACACTGGTTCAAATTTCCTATTGTGATAGAATTAAAAACAGAAAGGCACAAACAATGTTATTGCCTACCTAATTCTGGCTTGTTTCTGAAAAGTTCTCTTTTTTGGTAATCTTGATATCCAGAAATACTTAATCAGTACAGGGCAGAGTAAACACTCATTACAACTGCAAGCTGAGCATTAAAAAACATTAAAAGGTAACAATAAATTAATACACATTTAGTGAAATTCTCAACCTGCATTTCCTGCAAATCCTAATTTTGATTATTTAATTGATAGAAAGCAAGTGTGTGTGCAAGAGGGGTAGGAAGGCATCACAAGGGCAAGACTCAGTTCAAGCATATAAATATCAAAGAATCATTATTACAATTAATGTTAATGTAACAGCAAATCATTTACCTAGCCATTTATCAATGAAATAATCTGTTAAATACTAAAGGAAGTTCCCAATAACATCTTATCTATAAAATAAAGTCCTTTTAGTACACTGGGAAACTTGCCCTATTGTTAAATAACACTCCATTCACTCATGTTCCAGTCAATGCAATATTTTTTTTCTAGTGAGTGAAACGCATTTCAATGGTTTTCTGCTGTTGCCCTTTATTTCTACAGATATACAGTGTTGTAAATAAAAAGAGTTCTTATTTTTCGCCTCAGGCTCACTTGGTTCAGAACATCAAAAAAATGAAGATGTTAATAAATGACAACAAAGTAGACAAAAAAATGAAGTTTTAAGAGAAAGAGTTTTATTAAAATGCATATTGTGTTTACTTGGGCTGTCTGTGACTAATATTGAGGTTTGTTCGATGTTCTGAAAACCCTGTGACTAATGTGCAAAAAAACATCAGTTGGGGAACAAAAACCGTTTCACACCACTATAAATGCCTAAACACCTACAGCCACAATCTTGAACAAACTTCATTGTTGCTTCTGCTGATGTTTTCATGCAGAGTTAGCTTAGTTTTAACACTAGCATGTTTACGGTCTGTTTTGATAAGACATGGTGATATTTTTGGCTTGGGGTATTTTTTTCCACCATGTTATGCATACCCTGCTTGCAGACAGAATACAATCTTAGTATTTATATTCTAGTATTTATAGATTTTATTAAGACAGAGGCATCAATTCATGTACTATTAAATCAATGATTTAGGGTTACAATTTATGAAAAAAGAATATTATCCAAGTTATAACAGGGTTCCTACAGCATAAGGCAAGTTAAATTCAAGACTTTTTAATGCCACTTGAAATAAAAATTTAAGACCAAATTCACCAGAAACACAAGAAAAACCTGCTTGCGACAACTTAACCCAAAGGTTTATTTTAACATAAACCACTGCACTAATGTTTCAAATTTTGAAAAGCTTCCCATACAGGAGGAAAGCTAAAAACACACAACTGACAGATATATTTTAACAATTATTTAACTGAATTCACAAACTTTTTTTTAGCAGGGAACAAAACAAATCAGTTTTAAAGCCACAACATAACCAGTGCTAAGTCTTTTTAGCAGCTATTTTTCTTTGTATCGTTTTCTTAGTATGTTTGATTTGGTGATAAGTGGAGGCGTTGCAGAGACAAGGGTGGAATAAAACAGAGAAATACCGGCTGTTTCTCGGTAACTCCATTTTGACGCTTTGTGTTTCGTGCTTCGCATGTGCGACTCCACTGCCTTAATTCCCATCGTTCCGAGCTTGAATGACTTCTTGCATAAAATCCACTGAGCCTCATGTATGTTCCCTGGTTATAGCCATGGAGAAAACTCTTGGCTGGAGACAATTTTGGTTACATTTACACTTGCTCATATTCGGGACGGAACCAATAATGGCGAGCTGTTATTTTTTTTAAATAAAAAAAAAAAGGGTAAATTTTAATGTTTTATTCAGATTACATAAAATAAATCGTAATAAAAATAATCCTATTTATGATGTTTGAAAAATTAAGAACTACAAAAGACTGATTTAAGACATTTTAATACCAATTAAGGCCTTAGTTTTATTTTGAAGAATTCAATGCCTTTTAAGACTTTTTAAGGACCCGCAGGAACCCTGTATAAAATGACTGATAATGTTAAAAAGGAGCATTCAAAATCTACATAAAGCATTATAATTTTATTTAACAAGAAGTATATGACATTTTTGAAATTTCAATATACATTATATTCTGTTATTAATGCGTTTGTAACTGAGGTTTCAGGTTTTATGTGTTTTCTCTTTTAAAGCAATTGTTTCTAAGGCTACAGTGATTTGAGAGGTACATGATGTCTGCCAAAATAAAAGGTGCACAGTAAAATAAAATGAAACGATGCAGCTCTACAAACTCTCCACAGGGTTACCCCTCAGTTACCAGCGTAACCCTGACAGCGTGAGACATGGACTTATGAAGTCTAAACATGGTTTAGAACCACTCATTTATTCAGTATGTCTTGCTAATTGCCAATTAATTCCACCTGTTGTTCCATTTGCACAGCTGCATGAGAAATTGATTCTCAATCACTGTTACTGTTAAACTAAAATACTATGTGGCTCTCCTTGCTTAGATGTGCAAACAGTGAGTTTGCTACAGTTCTGTGTTTGCTTCAATAACTTCATTAGTGATCGTGCCGTCCCTTCAAAAACAGCTTTTTATTTGTTAGTATGGGCTGTTCTTTACGGAATGATGTTGCAAATATAAATAGACTTAGATTTGGTATGAGAATCCAGTGTTTCAATTTCCTTAAAAAGGGTGAATGTTTTTCTTTGGGGACAGTGGCAGCCCACTGCTCCCCAAGGGGATGGGTTAAATGCAGAGATACATTTCTCAAGTGAGAGAGCAATAAAGTTTAATTATTAAACAAAACAAATCATTTTAAATGAAATGCATCTAACAGTCTGCATTTATGATCCACTTTTTATCAAAAATTAAAAACTTGTTTCTATCTTAAAGAGCCACTATAGAATTTCCTAATGAGACTGACACTTGTGACGAAAACACGCAGGACTTTCCTGCTCATTCTCATAGCTCAAACTTGTACTTGACAAATTCTTTTACTTTTTTCACCTTATGTGGAGTTGCCATTGGTGTCTGACTTGAGCTGGATGCCAGTCACTCTTAGTATCCACAAAATCCATCTTGATTATAATGCTTCAATTGTTTGCCAAGATGCTTTTAATATGCACGAGCTTGACGTCACATCCTCCCAACAGCGAGGGAACTTCCAACCCAAAATAAATTCAGTGAAATAGGCTACAGGCTTACAGATGCATCGCCACTGAACTACTGAGGTGTCAATTTGATCTGTAAAAGTTTTAGTTGTAAGACTGAAATAAAAAAGGCTATTTTAAATATATTTTTTAGTTCTCTTTAATTCAAGAAGATTACATTTATTTTGAATTTTTATTCATGCAAAGACAGATTAGGTTTTAATTTTACGGTAAAGATATGTTAATGTTTAACTGGTTTCATTCTAGACTGGATAAAATAAAACAACAGTTTTTAATGATTATTCAATGATTATTTTTATTATTATCCAATAATCGATTCATGACAATTAATTGTTTCAGCCCTAGTTATCACACTATCAGATTGAATTGTTTCTGTTGACTTACAATAATTTTGGAAACGTTACTATCATGTTTACCTTGTCCAATGGAACAGGAAAATACCTGATAAACATACCTGGATTTACAGATCCTTTAGTGTTGAAGGTTGAGGTGGTGTTAGGTTGCAAAGCACTGCACCAAGGTCCTGCAGTCTCTTTAGCAAGCCAGCCAGGTCCTGATGAAAACAAAATAATTAGTTGCAGTTGAACTGTGTACTTAACCAGGGGAAATAGGAATAAATCATCTTTCATCTAATAATCGAGTTTAATGTTATAACAAAATAAAAATACTACTTAGAAAACCACAATCCACCCAGTTGAATCTGATTTAAAGACTGTATTAAAGACATGATTTCTACAAATAGAGCAGTTAATAATATTTTTGATGGTTATGAACAAAGGGCAATAATCTGGACATAAGATGCTTTTGAAAAGGTTTAAATAGGAGTAATAGAGCCATGTCTCAGCAGAAACACTTAATCATTGGTATGCTAGTCCAACATGTTTAACCATAACATAACGGGCTGGTTTTATTCTGTTCTGTCAGGTCAGCAGAAAAACAACACAAAAGAAGTCAAATTAATAATCAGCAGCCCCTGTATTTAGCAGTCAAATCTGCATCCATCACTGCAGCTAGCAGGTTACCCAGCTAGCGGTGGTTGATGCTACAGCTAGTCCGTTAGCTTGGCCGTCTGAAACCGACCTACTTACCGATTCACGGCAGTCGGGTAACCGGGATGGAGAGCACCTATATGTGTTCACAAGTGGCGCAGGACTACGGAAATCCCTATTGTGCCTTGACATGGATGGATCTACTCAAGTGTACCAACCAATTGTCGGTGGCAAGCTAGCTGATATTCATAGCTACCAGATTTTTTTTTTCTTTACTACATCCCGACTTCATCCGGAAGTGACGTCACTGTTATTTAAAATCCTCCTTCCATTGTGGCATATTATTTTGCATAGATTAAATCATCACCTCTTTCTATTTTATACTGAACACCCTAAAGATGTTTTATATATATATATATATATATATATATATATATATATATATATATATATATATATATATATATATATATATATATATATATATATATATATATATATATATAAAAAGAAATATATATATATATATATATATATATATATATATATATATATATATATATATATATAAAAAGAAATTCTATAGCCTCATACAATTACTCTCTGTTTATATGTACCATTTATAATAAATACATACAAAGTCTCTGCGCACATGTAAACAAATATTTATATCCTGTATAGCACTTCTGAATAGATGCAAACTACATTTCGTTGCGTTGTACTTGTGACAGTGTAATGACAATAAAGTTGAATTCTATTCTATTCTATTAGAAATATATACAGTGTACTGTTCCTTCCTCTTTTTCAGTGACATGGATTTGAAATTTGCTGTAAAAAATAAAAAAAGGCACTGGTTCCTGTTTGTGCCCTCATTTCCAATAAAAATGGTTAATACAAAAATTGTATCAAAAAATTCCACCTTGTGGGTTGTTTACAGTATATGCTTATTTATTCACCATTCATACATAACCACATATGTCAACAGTACACTTACCCACACACCTACAGACCCACACTCATTTGCACGAAAGGAACCAGGGCCAAATCAGACAAAAGAAAGTAAGCATCTATCCAAAAAATATTTTGAAATTGATATTTCTTTACACATTATATCACTCATTGAGAGTAAGTTCTTTGGAGCTGTGTATCTTTGCTTACAAATAGAATGTGTTAACCCAATCACCCCTAAAAGAAATCTAAGTGTTTGACAGAGTGTTGCATTCAAATATGCTAATAAAATCAATTTTAATAGAGATATCTAGGGGATCATAGACACATTAGCTTCTCCCTCCTCTGAGACAGATAGAAAGTAAAGCTCTCATCAATGCCTCATTTATAAAGCTTAACTGATACAGTTGGAGTATTTTACAGTGTTTATGTTCAGAGCTTGAGACTGAAAAAGGCCAAGGATTATTGATCATTTGCTTATTATAAGTTTGAATTAAACAGAAGGCACCTCAAACTCCTAGTTTGTTTGTATTGTTGCTATATGTACACTAATCATCTCATCGTCTTTTGGTATTAAAGATTAATGATTTTTTACAAACATCCTCTGCAGATACGGTTTTGTATCAGCTTCAGAATTTAATGACTGGAATTTGTAATAGCTGTTGTATTGGGAGGGTAGAATTGTAATCCAGATAAGACTGCTCTTTTTTACCTTCCATTCAAGACATAGATTAATTAAGGTCCCATCTATTACACTTTTTCTCACAGTTTGAAGTGCAAGCTTTGGGTCTATAACCACCATGAGACATTCTGAGACTCATCTTTCTGATCTCACTTTTTTTTTTTCATTGCATTTTGCATAGTTAGAGATCTGTCCCCAAACATTGGGTTTCAGATCACATAATGGAAGCACACACAAACACAGCTTAGGTAGATAAGATGGTTCCAGGCAGCTAAGGTTGAGAAAAAACCTAAATGAAACAAAGTGTTTTCATACTTAAGGATTCTAACACCAAGTACTACAGAAGATTGCTTGACCATACCTGTCAAACATCTACAACAGGGGTCACCAATGCGGTGCCCAGGGACACCAAGGGGCCTTCAACATCCACATGGGGTCCCCTCACCATCTTCTGTAAACAGAATGACTCACAAGTGGGCTAAGTGTAAAATGTTATTTATTCTGTTGCTCTTATTTTTAAATCATTTAATCAGAGAGCATTCAAGCATTTACAGAGATTTAAAAATGGCTATATCTAAAAGAAAACTTGAAATAAAAAATTTAAAAACTACTTTTTTATACATAAAGTTTCCAGTTAACTATGAGCTCCCTTCCTATGACTCTGTACCCATGAAGCAGCCCTTAGCCTTAAAAAAGATTGGTGACCCCTAATCTACAATGACTCTTTGCAGAAAAGGTTGAACAGTTTTGAGTTACATCAGTATTTTTCTTCCATTTAGAATATATAATTTTTTTTATTTGAAATGAACTACACTTTCAAATGGGTATCCAAAACATTTGGCTCAGGGAATTCCAGTATTCAGGCCAGACAGACAATGGGATAACTTCAAAAAGCGTTTATTAAAACACGACGATTAGTAGATCTGCGGCATCAGCAACTGGGGCATCTGAGGCAGGTAACTCTGCTAATATAGTTCAGTCAGTGCCTAGAGAATGGGGTGGATACCAGCCGGTCAGCTGACAGGATACAGCGGTTGTCGCACAGAGTTCCAGATGCCGAAGCCTTGAAGGATGCAGAACTGACAGGAGATCAGATCTCAACAGACAAAGAAAGGCAGGAAAATCCAGAGGATAAAGTCAAGAGGCAGATCCAGGTTCAACAGGGACAGGCAAGCTCAAAGGTCCGAATAGAGAAACGGGTCAGGATCAGGCAATCAGAACACTAGTAGGAAAGCTAGAAAACTCTCACACCAAAGGCTAAAGAAAAATCTGGCACTGATGGCTGGGACCAAGGTGTTTAAATAGAAGCAGGAGGATCAGATGAGCAGTGATGAGAAACAGGGCAGAGTTAGACAGGTGAATGAAATGAACAATTAAGCCAGCCAAAGTTTTCACAACTCTAAACATAGCTTTCTAAGCTTTTTTTATGTGGAACCGACAAACTAAGCTAAATTACAAATTAAAATTACACAAAATCTATTAAAAATAGATTTAGAATGAATTCTAAAGCTAAAGAAAAATGAGAAAAAATGTGTTTCTGTAACATGTATCAAAAAATATGTCCTTCAATATTGATTAAAAAAAAAGTTCAGTTTTTGGACACTAAATAAATGGCATGATTGCTGTATTTCAGGTGAAGTATTACAGCATATATGGTAAAGCAAATGCTTCTCTCTAACCATTTGCAAACTCTTTCAATTGTTTAATTTTCTGCAAGAAAGATCTCCTGTTAGGACTTTTACTGCTTTTAGAAAAGTTTTGGAATAAAATCTTAACTTTTATTACCACCTCCAATTTCATCTGTGCCTCATTGCCCAAGTTTTTACACTATGAATAAAGAGCCATAATGTGTTTTATGCTCATGATCATCCGCCACTCCTTTTTGCTGTAATCTGGTAAATGCGAGTTTTGTCCCTTCTGCCTAATATTGACTCTGCTTGCATTGATTCTAACATGAGGGTGAGTGCATGCATTTCTAGAAGCAAGCTCAGGGTTCAGGCAGCTAGTTCGGTTAATTAAAAACCGGTGTCTTTTTTTCACATAGTATTTTGCTTTGTGATCCAGTTTGGGGTGTATTATATTTTTATTATCTTTTTAATATTTTTCATAATTAGGTACATTCAGTTTTCCAAATCATGTTTTGCTTTGATATGTTTTGGGTTAGAGTCTATTTAATCTAAACTCCCAGAGTAAAGGCCCTATGTTATATCCTATATGAGGTGGAGTCACGGTGAAGACAAGTGTCTCTGTTCCATGTCTGAAGAGAACAACTTATATTTCATAACAATAAATATTCCAAAGTGCGAAATGCAATTATTATTCATATATATACCTGTTTAGGAACTTTACAACATGACCGAAAGGATGTTTCTTTGTACTTTTTCTTTTTTAACACTCGAATAGTGATCCATTACTTTGTGTTTTCTTGGAGGAGGCATTTGATAGGACACTTTGGCCCATTTTCTTGCAGTTACCTTTCAAAGTAAGAAAGATGCTGGCATTCAGATAGCGCTGATGTGTGGTGAACTTTAAAAGTCAGGAAATAGCTAAAAAAAGAAGTAATTGTCTAACTCAGACAGATCTTTGGCCGGAAAAAAATCTTTACAAAAACAGAAAAGAAAAACAAAACACGGAAAGTGTCAAAAAAAAGAATGGACGAAATCTCAAATATGTCATGACCCCATGCATAAAGAGGAGCATAGGAAAGTTTTGGGGAGAAATTCAAAAAGCTGAAGCTTGTTTTTTTGTTTCTTATTTTGTTTTAATTGTACTGCCATTGCAAAAATGATTTCACTCTTGTTTTTCTATACCTAGGAGCAAGCTTACCATGTGAAAAGTCTCCTAATGTTTCTTGAGGACAGTTTTCTATGAGTCTTTTATACAGAATATACAGTGTTTAAAACTGCACCTCACTCTAACAAAAAATCATATAAGACATTAAGAAAATTCCATGTTCTTTTAAAATACATTATTTGCTCCTGGATTGTGTTTTAACTGCATATTAGAAAACACACACATGATAAGCAATATAGCTCACCACTATGGGCAGAACATCCTATGAGGCGTCAAATTCCCTCAAAAGACATGCTATATTCTAAAAGTTCCTGTTAATCATTTCCCCATCCTCATATCTATGTTTATTGTTTTTGTACTTTGTTCCATCAAAGCTGATCAGTTCACATCTGATCTAAAGCTTTCCAATCAAGTTGGATGTCATTTTAATATCTTTTGGGTATCATCATGAAAAGGTTTAATTGTTAAACCTGATCTGGTATATTCTATGCTTAATTATCTAACATACATCAATGTCAGTCTCAAACACATTTCTCCCCCTCCTCTGTTTCAACAGTAAGATGTCTGATCTATGTACAGCCTGTATAAATTACCCAACCGTTCTGAAAAAGATCCAAATCTGGGTTTTGAATTGATCCAGCACTTGTTTTTCTGTTATTTCTTAGAGGATTTACTAGTATTTTTTTTGGTTCTTTATTCATGTGACAGTGTGATATTCTGCTTATGCCATAGTTTTGTTTTTGTTTTTTCGTTTTTGTTTGATTTTTCTTTCTATAGTTCAATGAAATTTTCTTAGGCAGCATCAATGTAGAATTCATAATGAAAAGCACCCTACCAAACCAATGCACGCCCCATTTCACAGTTTGTAAGAG